AACAAGAGACCCTGCCTCAAACAAAGAAGAGCCTACCCCCAAGGTTGTCCTTTGACCTCCACACACACTTGCCTGCAATAAAAAATTTACTAAAAAAAATTTTTTAAAGGGGCTAGAGAGATGGCTCAGTGGTTAAGAGCACTTGCTACTCTTCAGAGGACCCAAGTTCTGTTCCCAGCACACACGTCAGGTGGCTCACAACCACCTGTACCTCTATCTTTAGGGGATCTGACACTTTCTTCTGGCCTCTGAAAGTACTTGCACACATGTAACATGCACACACATACACACAAATTAAAAAAAATTTTAATTTTAAAGCTATGGTAATTGAATCATAATGGTACTAGCATAAAAAATATATTATCCAATGGAACAGAATAAAGAGCCCCAAAATGAGCCCACATATTTGGTTATTTTGGGCTTGTAAAACTTTAAATTTTTATTGTGGTAAAGTATCAATCTTATGTGCAATCTTCTGTCCAAGAGCTTCCATCCAGCTGTCTTTAAACAGTAAGTTGCATGTGCACTGCTGCCATAAGAGCATTTGAACTTTTCAGGATAAAGGGTCTGCCTTAGTGGTCGCCGGCTGTGGCTGCTCTCCTCCAGCTATGGCTGCTCTCCTGCTCTCTCAGTTCCTCCGATCAGTCATCTGGTCCAGACCCCAGGGCTGGTGAGGAGTCTGCGCCAGCTTTGCCACATTCAGACGCAGGAGACCAGGTTCAGTGACACAGATCTGCTTTATTGCAGGAAGGCACAAGCTTATATAGGGGTAGTGGTCCAATCACAGCACAGCAAGTAGGATACCTCATTAGCATAACAGGTTTACCATCCTATCACAGAATAGCAGATAGGATGCCTCATTAGCATACTGGGTTTCGGATTACAGAGCCTGGATTCCTGGAAACGACATGACCCTGACTGTTGCAATATCTAAGTGTTGCAATTTGGATTCCAAGGGTGGTGATTAGGGAGTGGCGAGCTCTAGGCATCAATCTCATGATCTGCCAATGGGAGCAAATGTCACAAGGCATTGCTTGTGGCTCCAGTGGTCACCCTTGCCTCAGGCCTGCTGTATGGCTGTCAATAAGACTTTCACCCTAGGTTTAAGCCTGTCTCCCACATGCCTTTGTTTAAAAAAAAAAAAAAATGGACAGTGCATTCATTTGTCCTCAAGAGTTGTTTGTCACAGGGTTCTTCAGTGTTAAATTTGTCTACATGCCCAAACCTATATACTTAGAGCCAATTGGTTTTCAAGGAAGGTGCCAAGAACACACAGTGGGAAAGTTCAGTCTCTTCAGTGCAGTGTTGGGAACACTGGATTTCATATCTTGTAAAACTCAAAATGGGTTGAAGACTGTAAAGCATGAAACAATGCAAGTGCCAGAGGGAAATATGGAAGGAGAATTCCATAACTTTCATCTGGGTAATGAGTTTTGTTTTGGTTTGGTTTGGTTTTTCCCCTAAAAGCTCAGACAACAAAATTAAAAATAGGTAAATGAGATTACATCAAACTAAAATACCCCTGTACATCAAAGGAAACAACTAAGGAAATATTGTGTGGATTTGGAGAAAAGATGTTGAGGCACAAACATTAAATAAGGGATTGACATCCAAAATCTGTAAAATCAGAATCTCAATGCAGGGAAACTCCTAAGTAACACGATTAAAAACAATCTGAATAGCTATTTCTTCAAAAAATATGTATACAAATAAGGACTAGAGGCTGGTGATGTAGCTCAGTTGGCAGAGTACCTGCCTAGCGTGCACAAAACCCTTAGTTCTATCTCCCATGCTATATTTATTAGACATGGTGGCACATGTCTGTAATCACAACACCTAGGAGGTAAAAGATCATCTTTGGTCACTTAGGGAGTTCAAAGTCATCCTGGGCCACATGAGATCTTGTCTGAACCAAAATAAGATAGAACACACACAAAAAAAGGTCTTCATTACTAATTATTAGAAAAAATGCAAATTAAAGCCACAACTTCATAATGATCAGGATAGATATTAAAAAGGTGAAAGATCGGGGTTGGGGATTTAGCTCAGTGGTAGAGCGCTTGCCTAGCAAGTGCAAGGCCTTGGGTTTGATCTTCAGCTCTGGGGGAAAAAAAAAGTGAAAGATCATAAATATCAGCAAGAATGTAAAGGAAAAGGACCCCTCCCTTGTACACTATTGATGGGAATGTAAATTAATAAAGCTATCATAGACAACTGTTCCTCAAAAAAGCTAAAAATAGAACTAGCATTATCCAACAAGGCCGCATCTCAGTCTGTATCCTGAGGACTTGAAATCAGTGTGTCAAATCTATGTTCCATTTTTACTGCAGCATTATTTACAGAAACAAAATATTCAAGAATCAACCTAAGTGTCTATAAATAGATGATAGATAAAGAAAATGTGGACTATGTATAAATGGCATAGTATTCAGACTTCAGAAAGAAGGAATTCCTGTTAAGTTCATCTACAAGATAGATGAACCTGAAAGACATACTATATGAAGTAAGCCAGAGACAGAAACACAGATACCTCATGTTCTCAATTTGGTGCAGAATCTAAAATAACAGTACTCATAGAAGCAGACAGTAGAATTGGGGTAATGTGTTGATGTTGGTAAAATGGTATACAGTTGCAGCTAGACAAGAGGAATAATAAGAATGTACAGTGAAACATGTATTCATTTGATTTGTTTAAATTGTTCCACATTATATACATATAATATCACTCTTTGTATTGCTATATGACATGATTATATGCTATTGCAGTTTGTCCAACAGATAGATAAATACATTTGAAAAATATTGGTACCATATTTTATTATTTTCAGTTTAGCTCTTTGTATTGATACCTGAATAAAAATGGGCCATGCAGCAATCTAAATCTGGCAGAATCAAACCCAGTGTGGAGACCACCATCATTTATCCAGTGTGCCTTCTGCTCAGACAACACTCCAGCCTGCAGTAATGCCTGAACAGGGAAATGCTGCACCATACACCTTGCAATGGCCTTGCTGTTGTTAGGACAGTCTTTCTTGTTTTTTTTAATATTTTATTTATTATTTTTATTTTATGTGTATGAGTGTATTGCCTGCATGTACATGACTGCACCCATGTCGTGCAATGCCACAGAGGTCAGAAGAGGGCTTTGGATTCCCCTGGAACTGGAGTTAAGGGCGGTTCATAGCTGCCGT